AAGCACAAATAATTTTCTTTTTAAGGATGTTGAAAAAAGGAAGAGTTAATGCCCATAAATATCAGAGAAAGTGAGAGAGAAAGAGAGAGAAGGAAAGGAGGGAAAGGGAAAGGAGAGGAGAGAACAGGAGACAGAAAAACACCGATTATGGCAATGCTGGGGATGACGGGGACTTTGCCTAGTGCTGACAAAACTGCAGCAGAGGAATACCAGACTACTGCAGAGCCCACCTGCCTTTGCTCCGGAGATGAGCAAGGGCTTGCCAGGAGTCTCTGTGTCATTCATGGTGCAGCAGTCTCCGACCCATGAAGCCTTTTCTCTCATTCCCTCTCACGCTGTGTGCAGCCCACGCAGAAAACTGGGGAAGTGAATTCCAGGCTGTCTAATCAGGGTTGGCCGCATCGTGACAATGCTGCTCGTTTTAACTCCCTGCACATGCTGGAATCCTTTGAGCTTGAGCCAGTTCATGAGATGTTTCAACACTCATGATGATAACTATAATATTATATTATACTTATATATTAGACAAAATATATATACATATATTTGTCATATAACATTGATATGTTTATAAATGTATTTTTATAATTTTATGTGTTTTATATTATTTATAAATATATATATAAATATATGCAATTTGTTTTAATATACAAACACAAATCTTCACGTGAACACACACGTAGTATTGTATATAACATATACAATAACATATATGTTTATATAAAATATATTTTATATATAATATATAATTAATATGAATAATATAAATTTTTCGCTATATGTGTATATATTTATATCTCGACTTGAGAATTCGAGTTTGCCCAAAACTCGAATTATATATGTATATATATATATACATATTATATGTATATATATAATATACATCACCACACTCGGCTTCCGCATCGAGGGCATCAAGAAAGCCGACGGGTCCTGCAGCACCGACTTCAAGACTACAAGAAGCCAGGAGCAGGTGCTTCGCGTCTTTGAAGGCTTTGTGCAAGGAGATTCGGAAGTGCTGAGGCGGTATCTGAACCGCCTGCAGCAGATCCGGGACACCCTGGAGGTCTCCGAGTTCTTCAGGAGGCACGAGGTGATCGGCAGCTCGCTCCTCTTCATGCACGATCACTGCCATCGCGCCGGAGTGTGGCTCATCGACTTCAGCAAGACGACACCCCTCCCCGATGGCCAGATCCTGGACCACAGGCGGCCCTGGGAGGAGGGCAACCGCGAGGACGGCTATTTGCTGGGGCTGGACAA